GGGGGGGGGGGGGGGGGGCGAGAGACACGACACCGTTTCCATGTTCCTCGTCGCTGCTTTGAGCAGTGACGTGAAAGTCGTGCGCCAATCTCGGTACCACAACACGGCATGTGTATCCGATGGCCAGTCATCACTTCTAAGATCTATCTCCCGCCACCCGTTTGTCTCTGCCTGCCTGCTCGTCCAACGTAAAAACTCACGGCTGTTGCGGTACACGATTTCCTGCGGCGAGAAGCTTGGATCTCTCGGTACTGAGAGAAGAGCGTCGATGTCGTTAAGTGACATCCCTAAGCCACCCCTAGAGGACAACATTATCGCAGCCAATCTGCGGGATGTGTCAAACACCCGCACGTCGGGGGGATCTTCCTCGGAACCACATTCCATTTCGGCTTCCACAGCGAGGTCGACAATGTTCTCTCCCAGACCATCGCCATCCGGCGCGCCGTCCTCCCCCTCGGATCTGTTGTCCCGGCTTTTTCCGTCGTCATCGTTTGATTTACGACTCGTTGGCACCAAGCATGCCCTCGCGCGATGAGAGTTTAATGTCCTTAATGAACTGAAAGGTCGACCGCATTCACTCACCATGTGGTCGTCCGTCATCTGCTCTGTCGACTATACAGGATATGAAATGCCCTCACACCTATAATGCCAAACGCTTTGCACGCACAATGGACTTACTACTTGGCCCTTCCACGAAGTTCGTTTTTTTATCCTGCCTCGCTACCAAAACACAACAATAAAAAGACACGTTCAGTGTTCCATTCCTAACTCAGCACCGAAAAGTGGAATCCCGCTTTTCCAGACATACCATTGCCTCTCGTGATGTTCATTTCCATTTATATTTTATCCACCTGCCAATGAGCCACAACACCCTGCGGCATAGTTTTGAGTTGTGGTCATTGTGGACACATTATCGCAGTCGTTTAACCGCACCAACACTCACTCACTCACTCACTCACTCACTCACTCACTCACTCACTCACGAGAGAGAGAGAGAGAGAGAGAGAGAGAGAGAGA